CATCCTTAGCATCACCAGCAGTCATCGTGATAATGCGCTTTGATTGGCACGCTTCCATAGAACCTGCGCCCATTCTGGAGCGATCGTTTTCTTTCCTTGGCTTGGTGCATTTTTGTAATAATCTGGTAAGAAAATGCGCCGCTGTAAGTGCCTACAATTCTGCTGCTGCTGGGAGCATGTGCCGTGACGTTGCGTTTGCAGTAGAGGCTCATCGCCGGTCACCCCGCAAGCCAACCAGTTTTCTCGCCGCAAGTCGGGGCCGCGATGGGCCCCTGTTGTAGCCAGGGCGCGGTGCATTTTTGCTTTGCTTTCGCGTGAAAATGCACCGCTTGATGATGATGATGATGATGATGCTGAGCTGACATGATAATCATCATGACGCATCCTCAGCATCACCAGCAGGCATCATGATAATCATGTCCACGCAGCTTCTGCATCTCTCTGATGATGATGATCATGATGATGATGATGAACTGACATGATAATCATCATGACGCATCCTCAGCATCACCAGCAGTCATCATGATAATCATGTCCACGCATCTTCTGCATCTCAGATCGGCTCTAACGGGACTGATGATGATGATGATCATGATGAGCACAGTGATGATGATGATGATGATGAACTGAGATGGTGGTCATTATCGCCAACATCATCATCATCATTGTAATCATCATCATCGTCATGATCGTCATCATCATCGTGGTCATCGTCGTCATCACCAGCAGTCATGATAATGATAATCATGACTACGCACCCTCTGCATCTCCAATCGGGTCTAACGCTACCCTTGAAACGTATATGAAAGATACGATCATGATGTGATATACTGACAAGCGTGTCATCACCAAGAGTCATGATGATAATCATGTCTACATCATCATCGTCATCATCGTCATCATCGTCATCATCATCGTCATCATCATGGATGATAACCATCATCGTGCATCCTCTGCATCGCCAGCAGTCATGATGATAATCATGTCTACGCATCCTCTACATCTCCAAGCAGGTCACAACCAAGCAGGTCACAACGATGATGATGTGATGACGATGAGCATGTCATCACCACCATGATGGTGGTCATCATCGGCATCATCGTCATCATCATCAGCATCATCATCATCATCGTCATCGTCATCATCACCGTTGTCAGCATGGACGATAAGAATCATCGTGCATCTTCTGCATCACCAACAGTCAGGATGATAGTCGTGACCACGCACCCTCTGCATCTCCAATCGGCTCTAACGTCACCCTTGAAACGTATATAAAAAAGATAAGGACGACAACATCATGTCTACGCATCCTCTGCATCTCCAATCAGGTCACAACGATGATGATGTGATGATGATGAGCATGTCATCATCACCATGATGGTGGTTATCATCGGCATCATCATCATCATCATCATCGTCGTCCTTGTCATCATCACCGTTGTCAGCATGGACGATAAACATCATCGTGCATCTTCTGCATCACCAACAGTCATGATGATAATCATGACTATGCACCCTCTGCATCTCCAATCGGCTCTAACGTCACCCTTGAAACGTAAATAAAAGAGATAAGGACGACAACATCATGTCTACGCATCCTCTGCATCTCCAACCAGGTCACAACGATGATGATGTGATGATGATGATCGTCCTCGTCATCATCACCGTTATCATCATCGATGATAACCATCATCTGCGTCCTCTGCATCACCAGCAGTCATGAGGATAATCATGTCTACGCATCCTCTGCATCTCCAATCAGGTCATGTGATGATGATGAGCATGTCATCATCACCATGATGGTGGTCATCATCATCATCATCAGCATCATCCTTGTCATCGTCGTCATCATCACCGTTGTCATCATGGACGATAAGAATCATCGTGCATCTTCTGCATCACCAACAGTCAGGATGATAATCATGACTACGCACCCTCTGCATCTCCAATCGGCTCTAACGTCACCCGTGAAACGTATATAAAAAAGATAAGGACGACAACATCATGTCTACGCATCCTCTGCATCTCCAATCAGGTCACAACGATGATGCTGTGATGATGAGCGTGTCATCATCACCATGATGGTGGTCATCATCATCATCATCAGCATCATCCTTGTCATCGTCGTCATCATCACCGTTGTCGATAACCATCATCGTGCATCCTCTGCATCCCAACAGTCATGATGAGAATCATGTCTATCCAATCTGATAACCATCATCGTGCATCCTCTGCATCACCAGCAGTCATGATGATAATCATGTCTACGCATCCTTTGCATCTCCAATCAGGTCACAACGATGATGATGTGATGACGATGACTATGTCATCATCACCATGATGGTGGTCATCACCAGCAGCATCATCATCATCATCGTCATCGTCATCATCGCCGTTGTCATCATGGACGATAACCATTATCGTGCGTCATCTGCATCACCAACAGTCATGATGACAATCATGTCTACGCACCCTCTGCATCTCCAATCGGCTCTAACGTCACGTTTGATCCGTATATCAATAAGATAAGGACGACAACATCATGTCTACGCATCCTCTGCATCTCCAATCAGGTCACAACGATGATGACGTGACGATGATGAGCAAGTCATCATCTCCATGATGGTGGTCATTATCGTCATCATCATCAGCATCATCCTCGTCGTCGTCGTCATCGTCACCGTTGTCATCATGGACGATGACCATCATCGTGCATCCTCTGCATCACCAACAGTCATGATGAGAATCATGACTACGCACCCTCTGCATCTCCAATCGGCTCTAACGCTACCCTTGAAACGTATATCAAAAAGATAAGGCGACAACATCATGTCTACGCATCCTCTGCATCTCCAATCAGGTCACAACGATGATGATCGTCCTCGTCATCATCACCGTTGTCATCATCGATGATAACCATCATCGTGCATCCTCTGCATCACCAGCAGTCATGATGATAATCATGTCTACGCATCCTCTGCATCTCCAATCGGGTCTAACGCTACCCTTGGAACGTACATAAAAAAGATAAGGGTGACAACGATTATGATGTGACACAATGACAAGCGTGTCATCATCATCATCATCATCGTCATCATCATCAGCATCATCCTCGTCATCGTCCTCGTCATCATCACCGTTACCATCATCGATGACAATCGTCTGCATCAGCAACAGTCATGATGATAACCATGTCTACACATCCTCTACATCTCCAAGCAGGTCGCAACGATGATGATGTGATGATGATGAGCATGTCATCATCACCATGATAGTGGTCATTATCGTCATCATCACCATCACCATCATCATCATCGGCATCATCAGCATCATCATCGTCATCATCCTCATCATCATGGATGATAACCATCATCGTGCATCCTCTGCATCGCCAGCAGTCATGATGATAATCATGTCTACGCATCCTATACATCTCCAATCAGGTCACAACGATGATGATGTGATGACGATGAGCATGTCATCATCACCATGATGGTGGTCATCATCGGCATCATCGTCATCATCATCGTCATCATCATCGTCATCATCATGGATGATAACCATCATCGTGCATCCTCTGCATCAGCAGCAGTCATGATGATAATCATGTCTACGCATCCTCTACATCTCCAATCGGCTCTAACGCTACCCTTGAAACGTATATCAAAAAGATAAGGACGACAACATCATGTCTACGCATCCTTTGCGTCTCCAATCAGGTCACAACGATGATGATGCGATGATGATGCGCATGTCATCATCTCCATGATGGTGGTCAGTATCATCATCATTATCATCATCGTCATCAGCATCATCATCATCATCGTCATCATCACCGTCACCACCATGGATGATAACTATCATCGTGCATCCTCTGCATCGCCAGCAGTCATGATGATAATCATGACTACGCACCCTCTGCATCTGCAATCGGGTCTAACGCTACCCTTGAAACCTATATAAACAAGATAAGGACGACAACGTTCTTGATGTGATATACTGACAAGCGTGTCATCATCAGCATCATCATCAGCGTCATCATCATCAGCATCATCCTCGTCATCGTCCTCGTCATCATCACCGTTACCATCATCGATGATAACCATCATCGTGCATCCTCTGCATCACCAACAGTCATGATGATAATCATGTCTACGCATCCTCTGCATCTCCAATCAGGTCACAACGATGATGATGCGATGATGATGAGCATGTCATCATCACCCTGATGGTGGTCATTATCGTCATCATCATCGTCATCATCATGGATGATAACCATCATCGTGCATCCTCTGCATCAGCAGCAGTCATGATGATAATCATGTCTACGCATCCTCTACATCTCCAATCAGGTCACAACGATGATGATGTGATGACGATGAGCATGTCACCATGATGGTGGTCATCGTTGTCATCATCGCCATCGTAATCATCATCAGCATCATCATCATCATCATCATCGTCATCGTCATCATGGACGATAACCATCATCGTGCATCTTCTGCATCACCAACAGTCATGATGATAATCATGGCTACGCACCCTCTGCTACGATGACGGTATTGCTTACGCTGATCATGTTGAATCTTCGGCTATGCTCATTTACCAACCAACCTTGGACTTGTGCTGCAACCACCCCTCCCATGCGCCTCCCCCTTTGAGGAGAAGGGGTCGGCGGATCATATCATATCATATAATATCTTATCGTATAATGCCAAATTATATCATGTCACGTTCCGCCATGCTGGTTATATATTGAATGATATTTCGCCACACTGCATCTGTATTATACCATGTTGGACGAGACAAGGTTGCAGTAATATAGTTCTTGGTGGCTCCCAGAAATCCCCTTAACCTTTTAGCTTTTCAGTGTTTAGTGGCTGTTTCCATTTAACCCACTGAAAGTCAAACTTTAAGCGGGGGATCTGAGGGACGCCCAGAGTATATACACAGCGACCAGGGGTGCTTCGGCTGCCCAACCCCCGAGAGCTACCGCTGAGGTCCCGGCTGCCGGTGCTGGAGCGCGGGGTCGTCGCAGCCTCGCCGCGGCCTTCGCCGCCGCCGGCGGGTGCCGGGAGCCCCGAGTGGGATCTGAGGTGGATGCGTCGGTTTTTTTGGAGGGGCCTTCTCGTTGGTTGGTTTTCAGGGGGAGGTCTTTCTTGGAGGGTACCTTTTCTTTTTTTAAAAATGGGAGCCCAAGGGAGCACCATTTCTGGGGTTCCCGAAAAAGGGGCACACAAGAGGGCGACTGGGGAAGGCTCGGAGGGTTTGGGGCCACGGACTGAAGAAGTGGTCCCGCTCGCTCCAGCGAAACGAAACGTGGATTTTGGAACGTGAGCGAAACGAACAGCTCCAGACGGTCGAACCAAAACCTCGTCCGCACACAGACCAAGATTGAATGCCGCTGAGTATATGTTTTTTTTTTTTTTTTTTTTTTTTTTTTCAGGTCTGTGGCCTTACTGCAGGCAGCAGTGATGTGCCATAGGGGCAGTATTGCAGAAGTTTGGGTTTACCAGCATGAACTTTGTTTCTCTGGTGGAAACTATAGAATCGCCTCCTCTCCCACACACATTCACGATCCGAGTGTTGAATTCTTTTGAGTGCAAGGCACACGCTCCTTCCATCAAGTAACTTTGTGCAATTTGGAAAGCTGCTTCCATCAATTGAGCGTCTTCCAATGTCATGTTCTCTTGCACGAGCTATGGCTGGAGGATTTTTCTTTTCGCCCGAGGCCTCCCCACCTCTGTCCCTCCTCTTCCGCTCACCGGAGCGCGTGCCCGTGGACAGCGGCGTGCAGAAGGCCAGCGTTGCAGGCGGACGTAGTGATGGGCCGGAGGGGTTGCATGTTTGGCCAGGTGCTCGTTGCTGAAGCAGGCCTGGCAGCGAGAACTTGCCAAAAGGCAGTTTAGATGGGGCACATTGCAAAAGGCACGAGAGGCCGAGCCGAGTTCGGCACATTTTGGTGAGTTGCTGTAGTTGAGACATGGGTATGGGTCAAAATGTAACCACCAGGGGACCACGGGTTCTAGTGATTGTTTCCATTTACCGGGTGCCATTTGGGGTACCTATTTTTGCCCCACAGCCACATGCGAATTCCTGCGGGTTCATGGGCCGACGCCGGACAGAGGATGCTGTGAGGTCTGGTGGCTCAGCTGCTGCCAAGCTGGGAGGTGGGGACCAAGGGCCGACTGGCTTGAGATGCTCTGAGGATGGGGAAATCTGCTCAGCAGGCAAAATGGTAGATACACGGAGCATGGACCGCAAGACGAGGCTGTTCAAGGTCTTTTTTGCCCGTTTCTGCTCAGGTTCAGCATGTGAGCCCTTCCCCATTCTGTCTACCTCACTCGAAGTTGCCAGAAAGTCGTTTCCCTCCGCTCGGAACATGCAGGAAATCTCAAGACCAGAAGAGGGTCCGGAAGCCCGTCTTTGCCGGGGGTGGGGGGTTTCTGGTAATGAGCAAATGATGGCGCCAAAAGGCAAGGAACGCTGACATTCCCCATGGGGGGAATGGTCAGAGTGGCATAAGTCTGACACTCAGGGACTTTCGGTCACGTCAACGGGAGGATCATGATGCCTAGCAAGATTAAGACACCTTGACATCCCCGGAAATTGTGAGCTCAAGCAGCTTGCAATGCGACTCCCATGAAAAATAGCCTTCGAAGGTGCCGCATTGAGACGTGGAACCATTTCAGTTTTCATCTCAGGTCCACACATTCGGGCTGAAATCCCCCCCCCCCAAAAAAAAATTAATAATAATAAAAGCACGAAAAACAAGCAACAAAGAACTCACCAAAACAAAACCACACCAACAACTTCCTTTCCAGCCCTAACGTTTCCACCAAGGAGAGCCCGTCGGCTCGAAATCGGCCACCGCCGCCAGCGCCCTGGGTGAACTGGATCTCGTCATGGGCGGAGTTCGGACAAAGACCTGTGCGCGGAAAGCCCTCGGAGTGGATATCACGTGGGTCAAAATTAAGCCGGGAATCGGACCGCAGGTAGATGTGTCCATTTACCAGGCTTCCATTTTGGGATTACCCTATTTTTGACCCACAGCTATGTAAGTGATGGCGCTGCGTTTTGCCGCGGATGCCAGCCAGGCTCGTTTGCTGCGACACGACGAGTTCTTCCGCCGCTTAGAGGAAGCACGGGCAGTGGGTGCTGTGGCTACGTTGCCCATGTTTTGTGTACAGCTACAAGCGGAGCCATTGTTTTGCACAGTGTCGCTCTTGAGTGGGTCGAGTATCAGGGCCTGTAGTGAAAGGCCAACCCTGCAATCATTTGACGGACACCTTACATGCTGAAGAAAGTCAACAGGTGGGTCATGGGAAAATAGTGAACTCATGCAGGCGCCATGCGCCTTCGATTCGAATTCCTGACATGCGAAGCAGGCCCGTGTTTTTGTTAATATCGACCTGCTGCTGTCAGTCTGTTCTGATTCTAAATACTGGACCATTCGCCTAGAACTTGCCTCAGTGTCAAGGCGAGTGGGATACGAAGGCTCGCCCCTGCTATTTCTGGCCTACATGCTAAGTTTTCGTTCTCCGACGCCAAGCCTCCGGGGAGCCAAGCGGGTCTCTCCAACCGGCCTCTTCTTTCAGCTTCCTCACCTCGGAGGCAAGAACTCGCAAACTTATCGGCCGCCAATTTTCGCCGTATGCCAAGTCAGTGTGGCTGTGGGTCAAAACCAATGGTACCATGTTGGGGTAGGTGCACCACCCATTTTAGTCTATTTTAGTGGGGATCGGGATGTTCAATGGGGGTACGGGATTTTGACGCATGGCCATGTGTTCACGCACCTTGGCTCAGGCTTGAAGTGCTCCCTGGTCACTTCCTTGCTGCGGCAGGGCTGGGAGCTGCGGCGGCGGCCCTAATGCACAAGCCCTCCAAGGCCCTCCGTGGAAGGTGATGAGAAGCCAGGAACTTCACCCTGGTTCGCAGAGCTGCGTACTGTTTGACGGGGCGAAGGGTTCACTTGCCTGGGGCTTGTAGTGATAGGTCTGCTCAGCAATCCCACTTAGTTTATCGTAGCATTGAATAGCTTCACAGTCTATGCTCAAGTGTCCCTCTGGAGTTTCTGTCATGAATCAGATCAAGAGCTGCACAAGCCTCTCAAAGCCATGATTCCCTGCCAGTCCACGGCAGCCCACCATGTTCAAGCATGAAGTCCTGTGGGATCTGTCAGTTGCCAGTCGCTCCGGCCCCTAAGGCATGTCTCTTTTTGAGGTACCGTTTCGTGGTGACAACTGCGGAAACCAGAAGACAACCAAGACTTCTGTCGCTCATTTGTCGGCTCCCCCATAGGACCAAACCCACGGCAGTGGCGTGCGACTCCGAATCGAGGTACGCCGGCTTCGCGGAGTCCGCCATGCTGCTGCACCAGCAGCTGGATGCGCTGACCCGGGAGACGATCCGGGCCGGGGACGGGCTTTTGGAGGTCAAAAGATGCCCGGGGGCGCTTTGGGCTCCACTTTTTGACTGGCCCCCAGGAGGACGTAAAGCCAGGGGTTCTCCTTTTCGGGGAAATGAACCAATTTTGAATTTTGGGTTTAAGCCTACCTTGGGGTACTCCAAAAGTGGAACCCTGCCAGGGGGTTTGCAGTCTCAGGTGGAATCAGAGGGCCATGCCAGATCTGAGCGGGACATGGTGGTTTTGTGCGCAGAGTTCGGCTTGTCTCACTCACACAAGCCCGGCAATTGGTCCGCGTGCTTTGTGGTGTGGTCGGGATCTTCTTTGTATGGGGCACTTCCGGTGGAGTTTTTATGTGAGGAAGGGTCACCGTATAGTAGTCTAGTCTACGGTCAATTTGGGAGGGACACGGAAGGGGGGGGGGGGGGTAGATTTCCCACAAACGCGCGGTTCTTGTGTTGGTGCTTGTGGCGGATATACTTGTCGGGTGTTGCTTCTTGTGGCTTGTGGTTCATTTGGCGCTGGTGCTTTTGGTGCTGGCGAATGTGACGCTGCTTTTGCAGTGCGTGCTCCTGGTTTTGCTATCTTTGTTTGCTTTTGTTGACCATGCATTTGTTCATTTGTTTGTTTGCTTATTTATTGGTTTGTTCGTTTGTTCGTTTGTTTGTTTGCTGGTTGTTTGTTTGTTTGTTTGTTTGCTTGCTTGAGGGTTTGCTTTTGATCGTCAATGGCTGCGGAGTTGGTGGCGTTGCCGTGCCGCTGAATATTTCTGGCAATGATTTGTTCCTTGTGTACGTGTGCACGTGCGACTGGCTGCCCGTTTGCCACTGACCCAAGAGCTCATGCGATATTTATTTGTACCTTGTTCTGCTTCAGTGACGCTGCGGATTTGGATTCGGCCCTTCGGCCAGGCTCGATTTCCAAGTCTCGCTGAAGAAACCAAGGAAGGCAGGGCATTGAGGACCGCGAAGCCATTGGCCTTAACTAGTGTGAGGGCCTATCGGATTTTGCGAGTTTGCTCACTACAAAGAAGCTCGGGACTTGGTGCCGGTCTCATTTGCTTTCAAGAACGACTCCTTTTTGCCAGTCGCTTGTAGTGAATGAGCTTTGGAGATGGGGGATAGCCTATCATTCTGCTCAGCCATTGGCACATGCTCTTGTGGCTCATAGCGCGCTGAGTGCTTGAAGTCAGATTGTAGGCTGCAATGCACCCACTCCGCCAGGTATAGGACACTTGCCTTGTCAAATGCTTGTTATAGCTGTATGGGAGTCACAACTGACATAAATTGAGTCAATCGCCATGCCAATTGCTTGATGTACCAACAAGCTTTGCCCTGAACTTGAACTGACCGAGCCATCGAGGCGTCACTTGGTTCCGTTTTGCTTCTGCGCGTTTTCTCAACAGAAAGTCGTGTCAGACAAGCAAAGAAACCCAAGGAACCACACACACACACACATCACGCACCCCCAAGCTTGCTTTTGGCGTTGCCTTGCGCCAATGGATCATCCCTTGGGTGGACAACCTCGACGCCGCTTGCCTGAATCTGGTCACGCAGGGGAATGCCGCGACAGAAATATTGCGAACCGTAGTTTGTGAAGCCGGACAGCCTAGAGGTGTACTCAACAGTGTTTCCATGTCCTTTTCCGTTCCTCATGTGAGTGGTGCTTGGATCGAGCTACAATACCGACAGTGCTTGCATCACATGACGTTTTGGACGCCTCCCACAACAACACGTTGACGAGTGAATGCCATTTGTCCGGAGACTTTACGTCTTCACTTCAGAGCTATCTCAGAAACATACGATGCTCTGCTACTATCTTTTGAGCTTGTCATTCCTTGCCCGAAAACTGGGCGTGCCATAGAGAAAGGCACCTTTGCCAAATCATTTGTTTGGATGTCCGGCGCTTGCTAGACGGTGATTAGAAACGCACTTAGCTCATGCCGATGCCCTGTGAGTCGAGTCTCTCAGCCAAGGCGGAGGAGGTTACCAACCGCCAGAGATGCACGTCGGGACAGCTTGGGGGGGGGGGGGGGGTTGGAAAGAAGTGGACTCAAGGCGCCCGGGATGGTTGCAACCTCTCCACATCGCCTCTACGCGCTCCAGCCCAAACTGCGTTTCTTTCTTTCCAGCGGCACACTTTTTGCAATTGTATGAAAGCGCGGGAGGGGCCTTGGCGGGTTAGATCCCCGCCCCATCCGCGCTGCGGGTTCGGCTACCGGGCTACCGCTCGTTCTAGGCAGCTGCCATTTGTTAGGCCGGCGCCGGGTGTTTGTACTTCTAGCTCGGTTTGGCCTGTGCTGCTTTGCGAGCAAGCAGCGTTGGTTGCGCCTGGAGCTATCCGTATGGTTTTCTAGTCTTGTCTTGCTTTGTATCCCGTTTGATGCTGTCCTAGGCTCTGCATCCCTCCTGTCTCCCACTGCGCAGAGCCTTTCTTTTCTGCCGCCTAGCGTAGCCTCAGTTTTGGGAACGCAGTGCCTCTGCTGAAGGGGCTTGTTCCCACGTCGTTCCCATGCTCATTCCCCGTCATGCTCTGCAGCAGTCAACAGGCAAGCCCCGCGTGCTTTGCCAAGTCCACGTAAGGAGTCCTCCTTCATCTTCTTCACCGACGTATTCCGCGGCCACAACCGGTACCCGCGCCACGAGGTCGGAGGGCAGCATGCCTGGGCGGTTTCTTGGGGTAGTCGCCTTCTCGGTTATTCCCGCGAGCAACTTGTGCTCTCTGACGTCTGGGCTTGCTTTCTTGTTTTGCGCAAACGGTGCAAGATCCTGATCAAGGCTGTCGGCTCTTTGGGCCGCCTGATCGGTGCTTGGGGGCCGTCGCCATTGCCTATTCCATTAGGCAACTTATTGTTTCTATCGTCTGAACTTGCTATCGAACAGTTTCTTTTGCGCGAAGGTGAAGGTGTAAGGTTCCGTAGTCACTCAGTAGGTACTTACTTTAAATGCCCTGAGCTGCACGATCAGCAACTCCAAACTAGCATCGGTTGATGCAGGCCTGATTTTTTGAAGGTACTGGGCATTTGACAGTTCAATCTAAAAATCAGAGTGTACGCAATCGGCACGCTTAAAGTATCGGGTGGGTGGAAGATCTGGAAACGGACGTCTTGCTCGACATCTAAACGCGATCATGCGGAAACTCCAACGTCAAATGAAGGCCTGTGCTGGCTCTTGTGCACCTCTCTTTTTGATCAACACAACTCTCTGAAATTTGTTGTTGCTGCAAGATGAGTCAGCAAGTGAAAGCCACGCACAGCGTACCTAAGGTTCAATTTTTGCATGGGGGCCAAAGTCTTGTTTGCTTGTCCGCAAGCCTGCGAGGTAAATTCGCTCTGAGTTTATTCATAATGCACCAGATTCATATGTCGCATTGCTTGCTTGCTTCTTGCATGCAGGCTGAAAACATGCTCAAATATAGAAGCAGGGTGACATGTCTGGCATGTGATTGGATTTTTAAACAAGTAGCTTTGAGGCCTGCAATCACGCCCTCTAACCGATGCAGGTAAACACACTTGTGCCCGCCAGCGCAGGAGTGGTGGTCCCGCCCTGCCGGTGGGCGGCATCATTTGTGGTGCCAGCCTTACGGGGCTCATTGGGTGAGGGCCACGGGGCGCTACATGTCAGCCTTCCTGAACCAGTAAGCTGGTAGAGTCGCTCAGTTATGATGAGGTTTTCTTTCATCCCAGTTGATCATTGTTCTGGTTGGCTTGTCTGGAACGGAGCATTTGGGCGCAGATTGGCCTGCTCAGGAGCGCTGTGCGTACTCGCGTTGGGAGCCCCGGGACGACGCACGGGGTTGGATTGAGACCTGAGTTAAAAGAATGACTCCGAGGTTGTTGAATGTTCAATGATGGACTGCACCGAGCGACTTTGGCCTACCTGAACCTGCAAGCTACTTCGAACGGCGGAAACCAAGATTGTCCAAGAACAGCAGGTGCTCGATTTGCACTGTACGAATGGGGATCACAGTTCCCAGTCTTTCTCACCGTGCTTGGAATACAAGGCTCATCGCGGTGACAGTGAGCTCTATAGCCGCGGTGCCAGCTTGGCGGCACTAGAAATTTCGGTGCGCGTCAGGTTTTGCGGTGGAACTCTGTTGCGAAATTGGTAGGGAATGAGTGGGAATGAACCAGTTTGGGGGTTCCCTGAAAGGAAACCATGGGATGGATGGTTTATAGGTGTCATTTGGCACCAGCAAGTCTTCCAGGCGGCCGTCAGAAGGATTTCGCCCACAGCGGCCTACTCTCTGCAGAAGTTGCCCCGCCTATCCAAAGGGCTAGTGGCATCGCATCTGCGGTTGAACCATGCCCCTTTTTTGCAGACCGTTGCATCCATTAGCTCCGACCCCTCCAGGAGGTTGGTGGCATGTTGGTCCAAAGCCACGAGGGTTCCCGCGGTTTGACCTCAAAGTCGAGAGTGGAATCTGAGTCCTGTGCTGAACCTGGGCATCAAGTACAGCACCTTTACCAAGGCCAGGTGTTGCCCCAAGCCGAAGCGTGGCCATCTACCTTTTCTAGGGGAATGTTCGGGTAAGTCTTGTGCTGGACACAGGCAAAGAGGACGTGATGAAAGGCAAATCATTCAGGACCAACTTCTGCCCCAGGGAGGGAGGGAGGAGGGAAAGAAGGAAGGAGGGAGGGAGGGAGGGAGGGAGGGAGAGAAGGAAGGAAGGAAGGAGGGAGGGAGGGAGGGAGGGAGGGAGGGAGGGAGGGAGGGAGGGAGGGAGGGAGGGAGGGAGAGAAGGAAGGAAGGAAGGAAGGAAGGAAGGAAGGAAGGAAGGAAGGAAGGAAGGAAGGAAGGAAGGAAGGAAGGAAGGAAGGAAGGAAGGCGCACCTTGACAAGCCTAAATCCACCTGAAGCCATCCATCACCCTGTATCCACCAATTGACACTGAGCTCATCTTAATTCTACACTGCCCCAAACCCACCACCCTAAATCTGTTTGAACCTTTCTGAAACTCACTTCAGACCACCCCAAAGCCTGCCCTCAAGCTTACCCCAAATCAAGCTTGGATCGAACCTAGATCCACCCTACACTCATCCTAGTTTCACCCTGAATGCCAAACTGATCCAGAATCTATCCTAGTTCAACCCCACACCCACCCGAAACCTAAATGATGAGCTCTAAGACACCAGACGCGCTGCAAATCTCTGAGCCAACATCCTAGGTCTTGAGCCACTAAACCCACGTGTGGGCTCAACCGGCGATTTTCCCGGGTCTGAAGAAATACATGTTTTAGGATACTGAACGAGTGCATGTTGCAAGCTTGCGACTGGAATCTGTAGCTTTGGAGCAGGGTCAAGTCACAGCCAATGAACCCTATGGTCATTTCATCAACAGTGCGCTTGCCTCAATTGTTTTCTCTTAAATTTCATTCAGATCCAAGCGCTGAGAGGCAGCGAACCTCAACAACATTTACACCCCGGGCCTCTACCTCATTGGTCCTTTCAGCAACTTCATCTTGCCCCCCGGCTGGATCTGCTCCGCCGCTTTGCCACTGTCTACGTTTGCCATGCGGCGCCTTTGTGAAATGCTGCGGACGCAGGTGTGTCTTGTTTTTGATAGGGTTCTCGGGAGAGTTGACTGAGCGGTGGGCACGAACATATCGCATGAACTCAGCATTTGTCAAGCTCGGCCGCCTTGAGAGCCACCATAGCCACCGTCACATGTTGCCTTGGATAGCTTGACTGCTCAGCTTCCCATCACTCAATGCTATGGCAACTGTCCCAACAAGGCTTGGTGTAATCACTTGGATGTGGTACAGGCTTTCGCTACATGTAAATATCACGAGAAAGTGACCTTCCTGGAGGCTGCAAAGTACTTTGTGGATCTCGGCTGGGCCGTTGATGGCAGCTGACATGTTGAAATAGCAGAGGCCCTCGTGGATGTCAAGTGCAGAATGCCTCAAGCGTTTGGAGATAAGAGGAAGGTCATCGCACTTTGTTTCAG